TTCGGTGATCCAACGAAAACCGGTGTTACAACATGATATGGCGGTAAGGCCCAGAGACTAGAAAATCTAACTATAATAGAGGAGCCACCGTGGAGTAATGGTGGAGATATCAGTTCAGGTTGAGGAATCGGAGAGCCGAGTTCGAATTTCAGTCGGATCCATTACATTCACTTACGTGCTGATACTCTTGGAAAAGGTTTGAATCCTCTTCTTCCTCCCAGCTATGGATAGGTATCAGGACAAAGTGGGATCTGTAGCCTTGGGTGGCAACCAGTCTAGGAGAAAGTAACTTTGAATTCAAAACTATGTATATAGCCCTGGCATAACACATGCTATATAGCTAAAGAAAGGATCGTTCGCATTAGTTCAATGATCCCGACTATGGTCGACCTGAATGGATGGGTGAAACGATAAACTTACTTAGTGCTACAAATCAGCTGTGAAAAGCCATGATCCCCAACAAATTTCAAGAAGTCCTTCGGTAGAAACTGTATTTATTGTGCATGTATACCATGGTAAAAGGGTTTAACGGCAAGGTAATCTAGACATATTTGGGAAGGATAGTATAATAATCCCGAACCTATATTCGTATCAAACCGGCTGCATACGGATAGGAAAGGAATTCAATAAATATACAAAAAATTGAAAGGGATTGTACGACATGGATGTCTTCTCGCTGGACTTATTCAACCTGTACAGTAAGGCGATTCTGAGAGAATTAGAAGAAATACCAGGATTCATTATTGGCGACCACATTATTAACAACATAATATATGCAGATGGCAGCGTTGATAGCAGAAGAGACAAGAACACACAAGAACTCCTAGGAAAACGAAAAGTAAGCACTAAACATCAATTGCAAGAAGAAAGAATAAATGGTTGTTAGCAAAACAGCCGAAAACAAAAATTACAAACTGAAGATGACAAAATCAAACAAGTAAAACAATATAATTATCAGGAAAATGTTTTAGCAAAGAACAGAAAATGCAACATTGAAATCTGGAGGCGTATTGGAATAACAAAAGTGGCCTTCCAAAATCTAACTAAAGACTTAAGAAACAGGAAAATTTTGTTAGAAACAAAGAAAAGAGTTCGGAAATGTTACGTAATATCAGTCCTCTATACGTCAATGAATGCTGGAAAACCTTCTCACATGTCAAGAAGAGACTTGAACTGATAGAAATGTGGTTCTAGAGAAGGATGCTGAGAATACATGAACAACTAACAACGGCGATGTTTTATAGAAAATGTTTAACAAAAGAATACTTATAGTTAATAACAAGAAGAAATAAATGAAATTTCCAGGCCTCAGAACGAGGGAAGAAGGTTTGGAAAATTTGATAATCACAAAGCAGCCTGAAGGTAAACGGGACAAAGTTAAATAAATATAATTTATGCTAGTGAGCTTGAGTAAATGGATGCATGAATAATGTTCAGGAGAGATGAAAAAAATTATTAAGCCCTTGAAAGGACAGGAAATTGTGGCGAACCATGATCGCCAATGTTTTGAAAGGATATGGCACACAGAAGAAGAAGAAGAAGAGGAGGAGGAGGAGGAGAAGAAGAAGAAGAAGAAGAAGAAGAAGAAGAAGAAGAAGAAGAAGCTAAATTTAATAAAAAAAAAAAAAGAAAAACATCGCCAAATTCCTAACGACTTAGATAAATTAAGCTCTGGGCTAATAATGCTGAGGTTGGATCCCTCAAACTCCACTAAATTGTAGGAGAATATTACCCCAGCTGCTTTTATGGGAGCATAAATACATTAGAATCAGGTTCGCCCATTAACAGTGAACTCACTTTCAAGGACGTTTATTCAGTGTCTCTCAAGCGTATTTCCTTCTCCTTTTTTTTTTTTCAGATATGATAAGCCGAGTTTCACTGCTCATATCCGATTCTAACTCAAGATAACGTGAATCCTAAAATACAAACAGACTTTCCCGCGATAAATGAACGAAAAACATTTTTAATATATCCTGTTTTTTTTTCTTTTTTTATGAGCTAGCAACTGTCTCTCACCCCAGTAGGGTTGATCTTCATTCATGAGCAGACTACAACTCCATTTTTGCTTTTCCGCTGGTAACTCTTCTGCATTCCACAGACATGGGTATGTTTATTTTTTTTTTTATAGTTAGGCGGACTCAGCCGACTATCCTTGCTTAAAAATTCAAATAACCGAGCCTTTATGGCTGGCAGATGAGCAAATCTTTCCTCTCATTTGTAGTTCTAAACAATGTCTGTTCCTCCCAGTAGCTTTTCTAACGTTCATTTATTGATGTAGGTTAGATAGTTTAATTGCTTTAACCCTCTGGCCCTTTTGATATAGTATAACTTCCGGGGGTTAATTTCTCCAAGCTGTCGTTCCTCATTGTGACCCAGATACGTAAAATGTCTCTTTCTAATTGGTAGTCGTCCGTGTAGTGCAAAAAGTCTGTATTTTTTGTGAAATGAAGAAAAAACATTTGAAAAGGGTTTAATCCAACTTACGTTATTTTTGCATATATAGATGTTTTAATATCCCAGGTATTGACTTTGTAAAAGTTCTTTTAATCAGAAAAATTATGTCATTCTTACGGAGATTCGATTCTCAGTTCGAAAATATAAATAGATGCGAAAAAGTTCAACTTTCAGTGTACGCCCTTTTACAATCAGGTTGTATTTTTGTCCCCGTTTTTCTTTAAACTTCCTCATTGTTCACATGTCCTGTCCATGGTATGTTGTCTCAATTAGCCTCTTCCAAACTGTTCAAAATTGACTGCTAAATATGGACATACATTACATAGCAATTCAGCATTCATGCAGTCAGTCAGTTATGTGACATGCGTGATACGATCATGTATCTTTTAATACATGACAAACGAGACAGATTTTTCCCGTATAAAGTTGGTTGCCATTTCTTTCTGCGGTGGACCAATTGCTATAGAACCCGGTCTATCCTGCTATTTGCCCATAGCTGGAGCGGGGGAGAGGAGAAGAGGATTCATACTTTTCCAAGGGCATTAGCAAATAAGTGAATGTAATGGATTCGACTGGAATTCGAACTCAGCTCTCTGATTCTTCAATCCGCGCGGCTATCCATTACGCCACCGTGCCTCCTCCAGCATTCATTACTTTCAAACGACATTTTCCTGTTTCTTAATTTTTTTCTTAAGCCAAAGAACAATCTGCAGTGTTATTGGTCCTGACCTGGCATCTCGGCATCATCCATTTACCTACCACTGTAACGTAGCTTCCCTGTGCCTTTTCTATAAATAATTTCATGGTTCTGATTGGTTATTTTTTCAGAGATGTAGCCGTACTCACCACTCTTGTCCAATTGCTGGTTGATGAGGCTATTTAACAAATAGTTACGGTGGATGGTCATTGATTCTGAAGTGTTCGTTCGCCTTTTAATAGTTCTTGTTTTTCCTATACAACTGGGTTTCCACCTACCCTCCTCTCCAAACTAATGCCTTTTCTATAAATACTTTCATGGTTCTGATTGGTTATTTTTTTTTGTTATTTCTACAAAAGCCAGTTCTGCTCTCCATCTGCTCAAACCCATCAAGTATGTTCCGTGCTGCTTTCCTCTGTCCCTCTTTCTCTCTATCTGTCCTGTGAGTGTCAGATTTTCCACGCTCTCCTTCCTCATTAAGTGCCTCAGAAAGCTCAACTATCTCTTCCTGGTGTTAATTATAAGTTACCTGTTCGTATCCATTCTCTCCAAAACTACATTGTTGCTTAAATGTTCGGCCTATGATATCCTCAGCATCCTTCTGTAGAACCATATTTCAATTGCTTCAAGTCCCTTCTTCATCTCTGTGGAGACTGCCCAGTCGAATATCACGTAACAGTTTAGTAATCTTTTCTTTGTTTCTAACGACTTTTTTTTTTCTGTTTCTTAATACTCTAGAATTAGAATAAAGAGAGATTAAGTGCGATGGATAATCATGAAATGAGATAATCTTGGTAATCCATGTAATCGATATGCCTTGATGATGATAATGATAACATTTCGATTTCTCTGCGACTGTGATGAGATACAAAAAAAACGAATAAAGAAAAGGGAAAAAAGAGTAAAAAAGAAACAAATAAAAATAAATAAGAAGTAATACTAATTTTTTTTTTATTTTTTTTTTTTAACCGAGAGGGCAGCCAATATGGAGAACAGGTCAAAAAAGGACAGATAATCGTGGCAATATCTTATCAAACAAAATCAAAGATAAAAACGAAATTTACTTCAGGAATGATTGATTTGTTTTATGTTTGATTCTATTTGGCGGCATATCAACACATCTATGGTCTATTTAATGCCGAAATCAAAATATTTTTAACATAATTTTAAGCCTTCAACTACAGATAATCTCTATTGCTGATCATTTAAATATAAATATGTATTGTTGGACCATTTTTGTATAAAAATGTATTGCTGGTATTTTTACTATAAATATATATTTTTTTATATTTTCATAGTTTTTTTTGTGGTTACTGTTTTCTCATAGATGGGGACTTAATAGGGCTGCTACCCTAGTTAGAGTGGACCTGGGAACAACAGCAATTAAGAGTTGGTTTTACGCTCCTCCCAGCCGCCAATCTCCCAATCAGAGACCTTTCTATCGGGTGTAGTTTATCGTCATACCCATATTACATGATAGAACAATGTAGACAGCGTGTTTGTCATGGAAAAATATCATCCCAGTCTAAAGTCTGAGATGATACCACCAGGTTTGTCTGAATGATGGAACAATGAATTTGAATCGTCGGGGTAATTCATCAGATGCTTTTGACTGAATTATTCAGGAAAGAGCGAAATGATAATCTTCTCAAGGATGCAAATTCAAGTTTTCAAATTCTTTGAATCGTCTTTCGACGCCTATGTGGGTAATCAAGTCGATTAAGCTCTATGTGACTTAGCTCAGTTCTCAGATGTTTGGGGTCTAAGACGTCGTATAAAAGAGATGTATGACTTGTACCTATGCTGGAGTTTGTCCCAAAACTTCGGCTCTCGTAGATATTCGTTTGCATCAGAGATAGATAGATAGATAGATAGATAGATAGATAGAAAAGCAAAAACGAAAGGAAAGAAGAAAGGAGGAAGCTATATCTCTATTTCATAAAAAAGGAAGCAAGACATAAAAAGAAAGAAATGAAGGCAACTTTAATGAAGAGAAAAAAGAAACGAAAACTGTTGACAGTTTGGGTAGACTAAAAAAAAAAAGAACAAAAGAAAAGAGAGAAAAGAACGAAAAGAAAGAAAGAAAGAAAGAAAGAAAAGAAAGAAAGAAAGAAAGAAAGAAAGAAAAAGAAAGAAAGAAAGAAAGAATGAGTGGGGAAGAAAGATGTTTCTCATTCATAAAAAAAACAAAGCAACACAAAAAATGAAGACATCTTCAACGAAGAGTAAAACAGAAAAGAAAACTCTCGATAGTCTTGTGTAGATTAAAAATAACAGAAGGCAAATGAATGATAAAACAGAAAAGAAAACTCTCGATAGTCTTGTGTAGATTAAAAATAACAGAAGGCAAATGAATGATAAAGGAATAGGAAAGAAAGAAAGAAAGAAAGAAAACAGAAAGAAAGAAAGAAAGAGGAAGAAGGAGAATATCTATCTTTCATAAAATAGGAAGCAAGAAACAAAATAGAAAGGCAGCTTTTAAGAAGCGAAAAATGAAATGGAAACTGTCGGTATGGATAGACTAAAAAAGACAGAAATCAAAGAAAGAAACAACAGAAAGAAAGAAAGAAAAAAAGAAAGAAAGAACAGAAAGAAAGAAAAAACAGCAAGAAAGAAAGAAAGAAAGAAAGAAAGAGACTTCTCAGATCAACTGGACCGGCAGAAAGGAGAAAAGAAGAAAATGAAAAAAAACATCAACTCTTCATATTGTTGTATATTGAGAACGTGAAAGTTTTTAAAAAAAGAAGTAGAAAAAGATTTCTTGAATTGCCACGGGTTTTTTGGCAGATAGGAGAAAAGAAAAAGAAATGCCAAGAAAGAAAGTATTACTATCACAGACTGACAAGATTAGAACCCCCAAAATAAGAGGAAGAGGAAATAAATTCCTCGCATCGTTTGAAACGAAACAGGAGAAACGTAAAGAAAAGAAAATCTTTAAAAAAAAAAAAGAAAAGTTTAATACTTATTGATCCATGCATCGCAAGCAAAGGAATTCTAAAGGTAAAAAGTGGACATACGGGCTTTAAGACAAAAAAAAAATGCGAATGTTTCTCACGAAAGTATGAAAAGAATGCACAACAAAGAAATAACTCTGTGTTCAACTGACCCGCAATGACCTCAAGAAAGATAAAGGTCTGGGTACAAAGCTAAACCTCCGTAAGATATGGTCAGATTCAGCTGTCACATTTTGTAGCAATGAGTCTTTATCTTACCATCTTTGAATCATATGAAAAACATTCCCAGAAATTAAAGAAAAATAATATTTTTCAGACTAAAAATGATTTGGCGTGTAACTGTTTAGTCTCTTCCTACAGTAAACAGTGAAATTAGGGGATTCTGTATAGAAAAATAAAATCGACCTTCTTTGAGCGAAGCGTTTGTATTAACGGTTTAAGGAACATTCGCCGTAAACATTTTTGCCGGAGGAAAACTCACCTCAGGAATTTTCGCTGTAGAAAACTGTGCAGTATAGGATTTTTGCCGTTAGACAAATTCGCAGCAATTTTTTTTTTAATATGCGAAGTACCTTGATATCAGCTATATCTGGCTCCGGCTATTGCTGCTTCATATATTTCATATTTCAGACTTAACGCTAAACATTTCTGTTAACATGATATCAATCTGCCAATAATTTCTCACTCAAGCAATATATATTATTTCAAACGAACTTATAACTAGAATGAGCAAACCAACTTCAATATAAAATATCTGATCAAAGAAAGATAACCCTTTCTAACTCTCAGTAAATCTTTTGAAATTTAAACAAATTATTTGAAAACATAAACTGTTTTAAATTCACTATAAATACCTAAATATTGAAAAATACAAAAAAAAATGCGTCGAATTGTCTTACGGCAAAAATCCTATATGGCGAAGTTTCCTACGGCGAGTGTTTCTACGGCAAAAATGTTTACTTCGAATGTTCTGGATACGAGTATTAATGCCGCGTGAAATTTATGATTCAGATTTCTTAAAATAGTTTTTCAGCAAATAAGAAATGTAATGTCCACTGTTAGAGCTCTTGCTAGTACTGATAGGACTTCTTTTCCAAAACTCGTTTAATGTAATGTGGAATGTCAACATATTGATTATATGTTATTGGAAGTTATGTATGTTTTGCTTTCTTGTTGTTTCTTTTGTTTTGTTTTTTGTTTATTTTACGTAGATAGATAGACAGATATGAAAAGTCTGAAAGACATAGAGAGATACATGAAGAAGATGAGACAAAGTGGCAATTTTTTTTTTTTAATCAAAGACGCGTTTTGCTGGAGAAAATGTCTGTTCGCTTTGGTTTCATCATTTTGTAAAATAGGAAGTGAAAATTATATGTTAGGAGAGTATGACGTCAGAGAAGACATATCCTTTCTCCGATGAATGGCGTCTTTGATAAAATATTTTCCAATTTGTTTCATCATCTTCACTTTTGTTTCGGATACTATTATCTATTCTATAAACGCACATAGATATATATGAAAATACTGAACTAGTTAGCCAGCCGGCTAGCTAGCTAGGTAACTAGATAATGAAGCCATCGAGATAGCAGAAATTTAAAAAAAAACGCATCATGAGCACAAAAGAAACCTCACAAAAAATACCTTAGCTAAAGCTCTAGTCATACATAGAAATTAATTCAACCAGAATTTTGATTTTCAAAATCCTACATTCATAAGAAAAGAAAATAACTCACTCAGAATGAAAATCCTCGAGAGTGCCGTCATTGAATATTATTCAAATATTAATCTACACCCAGGCTTTTCCCAATATCACCTTTCCTAAGAGAATTACTACTCTACCAAGCCAAACTGAACTACTGTATACAAAAAGCAAATTATGGTTGAATCCGTCAACAAAACAATAAAAACAATATTTCCACATGTGACAGTACTTGACGTAATTTTCAGTTGACAATATGAATACAATAGCGTTTTCTAATTTTCTTCTAGTTGCCCTGGACCTTTTGTTTGTTGGTAATAGTTACATTGTTTTTAATAAATTCATTTCGTTTTTGTCTTAAAAATGAGTCCACATTGGACGAAACGCGTCGGCTAATAATACAGTTTTCTTATTGTCTTTTTACTTTTATACATATTGTCTTTTCCTACAGATTAACTCTGAGAAATTTTTCATAGATCGATGGATATACAATGAAGACATCGAGATAGATAGATAGATAGATAGATAGATAGATAGATAGATAGATAGAAACAGACTAAGATATAGAGATACATAGGAAAAGATATGGATAGATATAATGTCTGTCAAGAGACACCACTATTAGAGGGTGAGTTATCCTTAAACAATTTAAATCTAACGAAATATCTGTGGAACAGAAAATTATCCGTGACTTAGTTGTAGTAGGTAGAAAAACATGGCATGCCTTCATTGTTCTTCCTTGTGATTTCTTGTTCTTGAGAATTCTTAACTTATTCGCATGCAAATATGTAGAGAGAATGAGTTGTTGAAAAATCTTCAACTGCAAGTAAAAGTGAATTATTTTTAAAAGCCCCACACGCGCGTATTGACTACGTTACTAGCTAACTGACAATTTTACATCAAATGATAAAGTAACAGTTGAAATTTATGTGCGAAACATAATGAGGAAAGACGGCTTTGATAATTTGATACGCAATAGACAAGAGGACCAGATAGAAAAAGCGATGACAAACCTAATGAGCTTGTGTAAACACATGCCTGACTAAGCTGGGAGGTATAATAAAGGGACAAATATTGTTAAAAGCTACAAAGGATAGGAAATTGTGGAGAGTCATGACCGTCTATGCAATTGGCACTCTTATTCACTCATGTGAGTAGCAAGTTCGACAGAGTCGCCAAAGTTGAACTGCCAACTGCTCACGAAAAGGACTTCCAATCAGTGATTAACTGGGGCAAGTGACTGAAAGTCTTGCCTCACCCTCAAGTCAGGCCGGGATATCAGAAAAATTATATTCTATTGGAAATTCACACTTCTAATTCTTTTGACGCGGGAAACGGACATTTACCATGAAGTGTCGATTCTTATATCCAGCCTTTCTATATCAATAAATGTTTTCCTTATTGAGAATTCTTCCCCTACTAATATCACAAATTCTAAACAATATATATATATATATATATATATATATATATATATATATAAGACAAATAAGTTGAAAACATAGCTGGAATTTTTAAGAATATTTATTTAGACTAACTTTACCTGTTTCATAGTGCTATGATTTTCAAAAGTTAAATTGAGATGGAGAGACGTGTGGATATGCCATGATGTGTCTTGAATCTAACTGGAGTTGGCGTTTTATGCAAAAATGGCGCTAAAATTGCTGTTTATAATGCAGTATGACTGGTTGATGGTGATAACGTGATTAGGCATAGTAAGTTTTGCGCCATAAATTGATGTTCTTAAAATTTGGTTGTCTAAAATCGTGTGGCATTATTCAGTGAGCTTGGCTAACGACAACAAAGGATTAAGTAGTTCATAACAACAAAATGTTAAGTAGTTCAAGTGTCAGGTATTCTATTTATTGAACGTTAGTGGCAATGTCCAATGTTCAAGGATTAAATTTTTGTGTGTATATGGGTGGGTTTATGTGTGTATGTGTCTGTCTCTTTGTTTGCAGAAATAGTTTCATTGTTTCCTGCTATGTTAGAATGTGCCGAATAATATAACAGCAAGTAAAATCGATGATGATGATGATGATGAAATAAACAAGAATTTCTCATGAGTGTCTATGTGTATATGAGTTTGTTATGTTTCATTATGTAGTCAGGTGCACAAGAATTTTTTTTTTATTTATGTGGGAGGGGGCGGATAGCGCTTTATCGCTTTAATAATAATGATAATAATAATAATAAAAGTAATAATGATTCCATTAGTAAGACGGACAGGAATGTTCGGGTATGTGTGTGTGTGTGTGTGTGTGTGTGTGTGTGTGTGTGTGTGTGTGTGTGTGTAGATAGTCTTTGCTAAATGTGTAAATTACAGTTTATTCAGATGTGGATTGTATATTCGAATAAATATATATTTTTTTTAATTATTCGTGTTGGCTCTGTGGTATTGTCTAGGCAAAAATTTGGGGGACGTATTTATTTTACAAGTGTCTAAATGACCAGTGAGTGGTATCTGTCTCATATATTGATGCGTGTTTCATTAAATAATATAGACAAGTTTTGTCTATTTATTTTATGTAAATTCTTTTCATATCGTCTGATAAGCTTAATAACATTATCATTGAAAGATGAAAGAAAATCACCATATTCATACATATTGTTTAATCCTAAGCTTTTGGCTTACATAAGCCATTATTAATGACACACACACACACACACATATATATATATATATATATATATATATATATATATATATATATATATAAAAAAAAAAACAGACCACTTTAAGGTACCATTATAATAATTTATTTCACCAGAGCCCTTTTAAAAGACGCCGGATCATCAGATAGCACCTCCAAAAAAATATATATATATATATATATATATATATATATATATATATATATATGAATGTATACATTGTTAATAGTAGAAATTATTGAGCATAGTTTAAATAAACATGGAATTATCTATAAAATTACAACAGACACTAGAATTTTAGCGATGTGGCTTTTTTTTCTTTTACAAAATACAGCCGTATGGTCGTATAAACTATCACATATATGTTACTAGCTGTATTTGAAGTCATTTTTATAAACATTGGCATAGTTTAAACATTATTGTGCGTGAATACACGAGTCTGAAGTAACAACCAGCCTAGATTGAGAAGTCCTACTTAAGACAGATGGAAAAGATAATAGAATTTCCTTTCAAAAACATGGGTTTGAATATATATATATATATATATATATATATATATATATATATATATAGAGAGAGAGAGAGAGATATCGAGTGTAACAGAAAATTGTCCAAATCGTGTAACACCATAATTGTACATCCCAGAAAATTTTTTAATATCTAAGCAATACTAAACTGAGTTTCATTTTTCCACGTTTTCAGCTAAGATGTTTAGCCATCGTGACATCATTTGTCGTTACAATCATTGAAAAACACTTTCATTTATTCAGCTAGAAATAGAAAAGTTTAAAATCTTACCAAATGAAAGGGTAAAAGATAATTTAGACCTCCAGTAATGGTATCAACATTCATACTCTAGCTTCCATGTTGAAAGTCCATTTATGAACAATCAAGATCACGATGAATGTTTAAAAAATTGGGAACAGTAGAGAGGAATACTGGATAAGCACGTTACAAAAAAAAAACGAGGGGTAATCATTTGAATTTAGAGCTAAAGAGATCAGTTAGAAAAGGTCCAACTGAATCCGTAAGATGTTTAGCATTTGAGAAAGGGCTTTAAGCTATGACGTTCTAAAGAGCAGTGTAAAATACTTGAAAATGTAATCGTACGTGAAACTTGTTGGGTAACTAGTTACTCTAGAACAGAAAGATAGAAGGTTAGAGAGGGCCAAGTTCATCTTGAATGAGTTGAAAAATGATCCTGGAATAATTTATATATATATATATATATATATATATATATATATATATATATATATATATGTACACACACACACACACACACACACACATATATATATATATATATATATATATATATATATATTAACTTTATTTCAATCCTTCAAGAGGTTCCGATCCTTAACTATGATTAATGATGAATATGTCATTTTCGTTTATGATCGATTATATCACGATTCTTCTGTTATACTTGGACAGTAATTATACATTTTTATCGCTCAAAGTATAGTCCTTTAGTGTTACGAATTAATCTAACAACTTTGCTTTTACATGATTTGGGCAGTTTTGATCCTACACCATATATATATATATATATATATATATATATATATATATATATAATCATCTGAGAAACACGTTTCTGCCTTCCATCAACAGGGCTGATTCTAACCACCAGGAGAGTGACTTGTTCAGTGTTCTCGGGCTAACATTTTCAGTTAACATGAAGTGGAAAGTTTATATTGAAACAATTGCTAGGTCAACTGCTAAGACATTTGTTTCACTGTCTCGTGCTAGACAATTTTTCTCTCTTGAATCTATCTTACATATCTATGTCTACCATTCGTCCATGCTTAGAATATTGTTGTCATATATGGCTCGGTTCTTCTGTCATATATTTATAGATTCGTGATAAAAACGAAAGAATAATTAGCAATGTTACTGGTCCTAACCTGGCGTCGCGGCTCTAGTCACTTTCCCCTATCGCCGTAAAGTTGCTCCTCCTACGCCTTTTCTATAAATATTTTCATGGCAATTGTTCGGATTATGTCTTCGCTATGGTTCCTAGAATTAATGAATTTATGCGCAGCACTCGATTGGCGTTATGGTCTCATCAATTTAAATTTGAATTGGCTAGATGTAACAGTAAGTTCTATACTAACAATTTCTTTCTCGCACTTTCCTCCCGTGGAACTCTCTTCCTGTTCCATGCTTTCTACTCAAATTTGATCTTAAAAATTTAAATGCAATGTCAATCGTTATCTAATGTCTTCCTGAGTACTCTTCTGCTATTCTCGATCTTTAGTAATGTTTCCGTTTTCTAATTATTTTACGGCCAGCAACCCCTTGTGTCTTAGTGGCTTTACAGCCTTGCTTGGTGTAAATTCTGATTAAATAAAACGCTTAATCACAGTACCTTGTCAACCGTTTGGCTGAAATTTGTATAAAAGAAGAATTGCTGCCCAAATACGCAAATTGTGTATTTGGACAGTAATCACACTTTATAGAAATTTCATTGTCTGTTCTGATTTTATAGATTATTCCATGTTTATTTAAACCATGCTCAATAATTTCTACTATTAACAATGTATACAGTAATATATATATATATATATATATATATATATATATATATATATATATATATATATATATATATATGTATATGCCATCTTTGATAATGGCTTATATAAGCCAAAAGCTTAGTATTAAAAATATGTATCAATATGGTGATTTTCTTTCGTCTTTCAATGATAATGTTATTAAGCTTAGCAGACGATATGAAAAGAATTTACATAAAATAAATAGACAAAACTTGTCTTTATTATTTAAGATTGAAAAGGTACTGGTGTTAAATTTTTTATTTCTCTTTTGTTCTTATAGATTTATTCTTTTCTAGGCATAAATTATATAGAAATTGTTCGAATGTTCTGGATGTCAGAGCTAAAAGGATAATGGC